TCGTTTTCGTGAGCAAAATTCAGCGATTCTTTTCCAGAAAGGTACTGTGATGAAGTTATATGATTCGATGATTTTGTTATGATAGAATTGGCATTTTGATATGATAAATTGAGAGACTTAGATCAGAAACCTTTATGCGTGTATCGACCAGGATTTCTTCTACGTTTACGAGGACTCTGGAATGAGATCAATATTCCAACTTTTTCAGTTTCATTTATCTCGTTCTCAGTACCGTTCCATTCAGTCATTTCGCTCATAGTTGGTTGGATAGAATCTGGTTCAGTGGTTCTGACATTCCCTGAGGGTTCTCCTGGTCCCGTTGTCTTGTTCGAGCTTGCTGAGATACTGCTCGTGAGCGAACTACCAACGGGAGTCAGCGTTGCTCTCTTGACAGCTTTCGTGGTACTTCGTCGAGTAGATTTCCGGCTGGTCTGGCTATCGATGGTTGTCTTCTTGGTTCCGGTTGAAGTAACTGCTCGCTCTGGTGTTATAGAAGGAGCAGATTCAAGAATCTGATACCGTCTGATGAGTGCTGGTACCACCGAGATTTTCTGAGGATTCGGTGCATTTTCAACCGTGATAGATTCTGATGAGTGCTTCTGAAATCTAGCAATTTCTTCGAGTGAATACAAAATGCATTTATTCAATGACAGGAATTATGCTGTGCATGTAATTCAGAAATCTAGATTCAGTTCTCGACAAGGCAAACTATCAATCATTTGTACGTTATTATAAACTATCACTGAGCTTATTAATCGCATGTTGCTTCACAGAGACCGATTTTAGCAGTTCTAATTCGTGGCGCTTAAACCTTTATGTGCCTTTTCCAGAAGACACTTTTATCTCTGAAGAAATTGCATTAAACTTTCACGTTAACTGACGGTATTCAATCTCATCATATGCTTTCATAACTACGATAAAGCTAAGCGAATAAAAATATCCAACTGAATGTGCACTACAATATTGCAGCAAAACTGACTATGAAGGTCTTGCAAACCACATTACATGAACTACATCTGGAACATGGCGCATCGATAGCCTTTCCTGAAATAGGTCAAATTTCATCGATATGGCTAGGTTAGATTGTTTTCAACAGTCTGGTCATGAAAACTTTCGCATTATTCATCTTGTGAAAATTATCCGGTTATCACTGGCCATATTCTCATTTTGTCACCACCAATTGGGAATGCTATGAAATTTCAAACGAACTAGCTGGATCACATGGCACCAATTGATTGCACTTCCAGTCGTTATTTTCTGGAGATTTTGGTCGTGTTAGAGTGTCAGACCTAACCTGTTTTTGCAATAATAAGACATAGAGGAGAGCCATTATCTTCTTCTTTCTCAGTAACCAAATGAGCCACATATTCGCCTTCAGTAGTGCTCGACACTGCAAGTTTCTCTGAAAAAAAGGAAAGAATCCAAAAGTTTTCACAAGGATTATGCGTCGAATAACCGTCGAACGAACTTGATCAAGCTGATGTTGCAGTTTTGTGGAGATATATCAACGGCTAATCTAAATTGGAATCTGAAATTCCAACTTCAGTTGTGATGAGAACTGAAAATCGTGAACAGAATAGCATTCAAACCTATGAGAAAGTCATTATCCTGTTGTGAATGTTTCTCAAGCTTTTCATAAACGTTGTTATTGCAGAGGTTTTTGAGTATCACGTAGTTCAGTTGGTTTCTGGAGTTCGATGTTGCAATCTGAAAGAGGTATGATCAGAGGCGATCAGTGCGGAAATTTCCTCATTCGAATCCATTCGTCCTTGAATTGCCCATTTTTCATTCGTTGGAAGAAAGGTGATACTCTGAAACATATTAGCTGTGCGCAACGCATCGAGGCTGAATGGTTAATTGCCGTTTCCGAAATGTGAGAATTGTCAGAGTAGGATGGTAATGAAATGTTGTGGCACCACTGAAAGCACAAGTATAACCAACGTAATTGTCGACAGCGGTTCGATT